TTTTTTCTTATCGTTATTGTTATTAAACACCTTTATTCTTACATGATGTTTATATACATTATTTTTTTCAAATGGATTTTACAGTAAAATGTAGTGCATGGACGTTCTCAATACTATAAATATAGGATATTTATATCTTATCAGGTTTTGTTATAGATGTTATCCTGTTTAATTTAATAGCGCAATTTTTTAAGTAATAAATAATACTATTAGAATTATGTTTATGATCGCGAAGAGCTTATTCTGTACTAAATTTATGCAAGATTTTTTTTTTGATAATACGCGGGTGGCTTCATAGACGAAATTTGAATTAAGCTATACCTGGCCTTGTAAATTGGTCTAAATCCATGGTGATTAAACCATTTCACCAAAAACCTGTATTTGTTAGGCTTCATATTTTTTATCAAGGGTAATCTATGCAAATTAATGATGCCTGATGAATTTATTTTTGCGATGACTAATGGATATTAGTATTTAAAAATTCGTACTATAACTAAAATTTCATGCTGAAACTTTTAATTAAAATTCGCATAGTGAAATTTACGACTTCCTACATTTTTTCATTTTTTTTAAGTTTGTTTTATTACACAATTTGTAATTCTTTGGTTCATAAGTTATTCAGAGTACCCGCATGAGCTTTGTCAGATTTCGTCAATCGTCAATTCATCATTTAGAAATCACCTTAACGAAATGTTTCGTCATTTGTCAGACATCATTAAATAGGGATTGCTCAAAAAAATAACTCCTTTGAACACTTCAAATTCCTTGTTACATAATTAAAATAGAAAAATTATTCATAATACATAATTAGTAGTTTAATACGACTTGAATATCTACTGACATAATACAATGATATTCTGGAATCGTTTTTTTCAAAAAAAAAAAACAAAAACACACAATATTAATGTCACTATTCATATCTTAAATCTTAATAAGTTTATTTAAATGCATATACCGTTAGATCTCACTATTAGAGATCATAGTAACTTTTAAAAAATGTGCTTATAATAAGATCGTACTTATTTAAAGAGTATTTCGTACATCCATAAAGTGAAGTCTTATATGATCATACATTCATATCAAACATTCATAAAGTGAAGTCTCTTATATGATCGTACATTCATATCATACATTCATAAAATGAAGTCTTATATGATTATACATTCATATCATACATTCATAAAGTAAAGTCTTACATGATACTTTTAGATGAAGTAATTACGTTGAGGCTTGATTACTAAGCCTTTCAAGATCTTATTTTTAACTTAATGCAAAGGAGGTGTAAAAGTATCATTAAGACTTTGTTTGTTCGCCCTGATATTCAGAAACAGGACCAAGGAAAAAGGAAACAATTGTACAGATGATTAATGCTCCCACAGATGCCCACAAGCAAGCACCCAATTCAATATAATAATATAATACACCACCCAAAATTAATCCAACCAATCTTCCAAAAACATTTGCCATATAATAAAGTCCGACATCCATGGCGACCTTATCTCTATGACAATATGCTAATATGAGAAATGAATGAATTGAAGAATTTATGGCAAAAATACAAGCTAAAATAAACAATCCGGTTACCAAAATTATCAATAAAAACGTAAAATGTGTTTCAAGGGTAATGAATTTTAGGAATAATGCTATAAACATAGTTACTAAGAATAATAGAACTGTGAACGGTACTAATATACGTCCATTTTTTACAGGATATATTTGAAGTGGTTTTAGAATCAGGTAAGGGGTGATGAATTGTATCATTTCAGAAAGTATTATCCAACTGGCAAGGAGTGCACCAGTGCTAAAATATGGCCTGCGATTAAATAATGCAAAAATTACTGATTAGTAATTATTGTTTGATTTTACATAAAATATCATGTAACATTTCGTACCATCCAACTTGTCCTATTAGATAAAGTGGTAAAGGTACCTAAATGAAAATTTTAAGAATACGTATCATACATATAACATGATAATGAATTCACTATACCACTCGGTAAATTGTAATTAGTTACCACAAACCAGAGATCGCGTGAACCAGACAAAAACATTCTGGCCATTGATAAGATATTTACATCTCTTCCCTAGATTGAAGAAAATAACAGATTTATATATAGAATGCATTTGTATGTGCGTGCATAGTGATAATACCTTATCAAAAATTTCTTTAAATGTCATCTGTTTCTTCGATTCGCTAACGGCCAAATCATGATCGAAATAAATCAATGCGAAAATAATAATCATCAAATTTATAGCCACTAGTATGAACAATGCAGGAATATAATCCATATATTGTAATAAAAATGCACCCAAAAAGACTCCAACACCTTTTACAGAATTTTTTGCATTTACGATCCAAGTTACCAATTTGAATATTATTGACTGTTGAGGGTTGTCATCTTTTGTCGCTAATTTTATTACAGATTTACAACCTAATTTGACCAAATCTTTGGCTATTCTACTATATCCTTGAGCAATAGTAGCATATATTATGATTATTGATGAATTCCATGAGTTCCAGTATCTTTGTAGGCCGCATAGCATTGCAATTCCAACAGTATGAATAAAATAACCAGAAACAAGAAGGGCTTGAATACCTAGACGTGATTCCATAATATTGCCAGTAAGGTTTGTAATGACTCCAAAAAATTCGTATAATGTAAACACAATAGATATTTGTAACGCCTATATTCCAATACCATGTATTTTTTTCATTAACACTGGTAAAATAAGAAAACTTAACTGAAAAAATTTTGATAAATACATTGAAATATCGTTTATATAGTTCCAGCAGCACAATCATCCGAAGGCTAGAATCTGTAAGTATAGAAAATATATATCCAAACGAAGTTATATAAAAATTTCTCGTAGCCACCACATTGTTACTTTCTTTTTTCAATTCTGGAGATCTCAAATTTTCTTGGCCGTTCATTTTATGGAGTTCAATATTTTCTTCATTCTGTTGCAAAGAAGTCAAAATTATGTTAACTTCAGTAACCGGCTCGTAATTCGTTGATTCAAGCTGTATTTCTGATTTTTCTGACATTTTGTGAAATTTTCATAACTTGCTAGGGTCGAGGTTTATGTGTAGCACCAGGAGAAAGCCTATAAATAAAGATTTTGAACTTATCACCTTACGGGACTTATCCCCATCGTTACAAGAATTTCAGAAAATTTAATAGCCAATTAGAAATCTTATTAAAACAAACCTCCATTCTCTGCTATCATATTACGTAATATAAATATTTTATTTTGCACCTAGAATGATTAGAATCAGACTCTGGGCTTTTGTGGTACATTATTTAAATGTTATAATTTTTGCATTATCTTTTTTAAGAATTGCAATAATATCGAATTGACATAGAATGAAAATTGGAATTAATAATTAGAATTAATTTCTTCAATACAATTGGCTATTTGAATTAAAAATTAATGTACATCCTTGAACAAACAAACATTCTTTTTGTGTGTTATGTCGTAATCATGTTTATTCGTATTAAAATTTAGGTAGCCAATGACGACTTGAGAATTATAATCGTGAATTGAATAATTATTTAAATATCATAAAATTTGTCCAATCGATCAAATGAATGGCTGGGTGTGCCGCTGCGGCCAATCATTTGCCTGATTAGACAAATTTTTTCAATATTAATCGAATATTCTACCGTGGTGCATTGATCAAAGTAACCGCCGTGAAAAGTAATGCAGATCAATTTTTACAGTATTATTTATATGTGACATGTGATGTAAATAATTGTGTAATACATGTGATTTTATGAAAAAAAATCGTGTCACGCCGGATGCTTTGTTCAATGCACTACGTTACTTCATAATGATGGGTACGCGGTAAATCAATGCCATATGGTCATATTATAATTTTTTTTTAGATAGTGATCAATGGGTAAACAGTATAACAATTATATAAATTTTAAGTAGATGCACATCCATAACAGTATTATGTTTTTTACAAACAAAATTATGGCGCCATTTTTTTAACAAAGAAACTAAATTAAGTTCTTTATTTCCTTTTTTTTTTTTTTTAAGAAAAAAAGAAACGTTGTGCATTTTAAAGTTTTTACGTTAAAGCAAAAGAAATGGCTCTATGGCTTTACATTTAGGGACATAATACTGGTCTTTGTAAAATTTTATCCGAATCTATCAAATCGTTAGGGTTGTGTGTAGTGATGGGCGCG